CATAATAACTTCACCACACACTGGTAAGATGAGATGTGAACAGCTCCGCACTGCTGCAGGCTCAAATGCCAGGAAATGCCAGCCTCTCCAGCCTCTCCAGGATAATGGACAATCGATACAGACTCGCAGACTAGTTTTCCTGTCACACACCATCAAACAGAGAATGCATCTCTGTCAATCACCACCTAACAGAGATCACCCCAGAAGTTCACTTGAAACATGACACTCAGAAACCCCCAGCGATGCCCCTGGTGGGAGAAATCACGATGCAAAAATTAAAAGAAAGAACAAAAGCCTTGGTCCAGGACGCAGGTTCAGCATGCAGGAGTCAAGAGCTCTGTTTCTGTGCATGGGAGAAACAGAAGAACCAAGGAATTATGAGCCCATAGCGCTAGGGGCCAGGTCGGCCTGTCGGGTGCAGGTTCCTTTGGCTCCAGTGATGCATCTCACATGGACAGATGGTCTGGGCAGAGCCCCAGCAAACATCTGGCAAGGAATACTATGGAGAGAGTTATCTGCATGCTCACTGACCATGGTATAGCAGGAGAAGAAGCATTGGCTTCTCATCACTTCCTGTGGAAGCCAAAGCAAGATCTCTGAAGATATAAAGGAAAGCAGGAGAAATAATTGCTCTGATCTCATAATGATACCTGCATGGACACAACCATTTTACTATTGCTCTCCCATTTTGCAAGCTTGGGGGAGGGGTTAGATGCCTACAATTATGGGCTAGCTACATATATTACAGTACAGAGATGCTATGCATGTCTACACTGAATAGAAAACTGATCTAGATTGCTTTGAATACATGGTACTGGCAGAAAACTTAACTAAAAAGTGAGTTTTGAATTAATTCAGAGCAATATTTGGAGTTTAAGAAACAAATCCCTAGGAAGATATTTATTTCAGCCATGGAAGACCAGCATTCCTTATGGGGTTCAGTGACTTTCCTACTTGTTCTTCCATCAAAAGCTCAGGAAACTTTGGAACCAAAATTTAGAAATGATACACATAACTTGGATATATCTCATAAACATAATGGGCATAATTACCCAGGGGTGGGGGGAAGCCAGGTACAAAAAGGTACACAAGGGCACTTCAAAAACTTCATGGAAAATGAAATTAAAACATTTGCTTTTGTGAAAAAATTTTTTAAATCCATGCATTTTTTTTCATGATATGATTTTTTTGGTGAACTTTGTGAAGACTGCTCATCTGCATGGATTTCCAAAAAAAAAAAAAATTACAGTCAAGGGAACTTATCTTTGACTGCCATTTTCCACTATATTTTGAGTACCCTTGTACAATCATTGACATGAATTTTAAAAGGCAATTGTGAGCTCTGGTGATAAGACTCAGAATAGTGATTAACTAAGAGAGAGAGAGGGAAGGAATGGCTTGGAAAGGGGCTCCACACACCTTTCTTGAATCATAGTAATCTTCTGGAACTTGAACTGGGTGCTGACTGCATTTATCAGAATTGAACATACCGCAATACTCACTTCTTTTTAAAAGTGCTGTACCGTAGTGCAGTAATTTACAATGTGTACTGCAGTGCAATAATTTATTGTTCCCATAAAAACTAGGATACAGGGAGTGGAGACAAGCCAGTCTGGACCACGGCTTTTTATTTTAAACTCATTCAACTCATTTTATTCTAAACTCATTCAGTTCATTCTAAACTCAATCTGGCTTCATGTAAAAAAAAAAAAAAGTCTGACTGGTATTTGAAATAGCTCTCCCATCTCCCTGGGTGAGACCCCAGTGCATAAGAGTGGCCATCAGAGAAGGATGTACTTTTCTCCGGAGGGAGGAGAGAACTCTCACTTTGCGTATGGCCATGTCTGAACACTGATGGGAACACAGCAGCAGAACCCACTGATTGGTGGAGAGAACCTGAATTTAAATCCGCATCTGGATCTCAAACCAAGCTGATACTGTCAATATTCCTCAGGCACCCCGGTTGAAAGTATATATTTACATTAACCCACCCCTACCGCAGACGATCCTCAGGACACTGTGAGGGTCTCACGCCCCCTCTGAAGGTGCAGGCAGCCGATAGTTTTAATAACTGGAACCCCAGCGTGTGCTGAGTGTGTCCTGTGGCTCCCAACCCTTCCCCACACTCTCTTGTACTTTGTCCCTGGAGTTCTCGGTGCTGTCTTCACTGGTGTGCTGTCTTCACCTCAGCCAGAGCTTTGCCTTCTCTCCCAGGAGAGCTTTAGTGCCTTGGTCTTAGATGGTGCTGCTTGGAAGGGCTTGGGTGGCCAGTGGAGAATGGCCCAAGTGATTGGCCCCTGCACCCACGTGGGAGATCCAGAAGAAGCTCCTGGCTTCAGCCTGGCACAGCCCCAGCTCTTGAGGTCATTTAGGGTGTAAATCAGCAGATGGAAGATTTTTCTCTCTCTCCCTCTCTCAGTCTCTGTAACTCTACCTTTCAAATAAATAAATAAGAATGGCCATCAGAGAAGGATGTACTTTTCTCTGGAGGGAGGAGAGAACTCCCACTTTGCATATGGCCCTGTCTGAACACTGATGGCGTTTGCAGAACTCAGAAGGCTTCCATGGCCCAGGCAGCTCATGTCAAGGGCCTCAGGTGATCACTGACGTCACATGTAAGAGTGTTAATTCTTAAATTAACAAAGGAGTCACTGTGTACTAACTGCCCATGTAGGATCTCTGTTCTAAAGAACTACAGTATTAACATTAATGGTAAAACTTGATCCCAAAGATTTGCTTTGTTCTATTGTGATATTATGCATCATAAGTTCTAGTTATGTCTAAGTGTCAAACTCCATTGCCTGTGTGTTTAGGTATTTCTTTAAAGTTTATTAGGTGCCTCAAATGTAAAATCTTGTGAAATTCCTAGCTCATATGTTTTAACATAGGGTTAGATATTAAAAGACAGCCGAGGAGATTTCTCAAAATGGCAAAATTCTGTGGACTTGGGACTCCAAGATTTGGATCCCGAGCTTTCTCGTGTAGCTTTAAAGATGCCCTGATGCAGTCTCCGTACGGAAAAGGGTAGCTGCAAAGTTGTTCCAGAGAACTAAGGAGCTTCTAACTAAAGCTCCGGTATTGGGAATTGCTGATGACAGGACTCTATGGAATTTGAATTCCAAAATTCAGATTCCAAGCTTTCATATATAGCTTTAAAGAGGCCCTGATGCAGACTTTGTACTGAAAAGGGTAGCTACAAAAGTTGCTATGGATTCCAGGATCTGGATTCTAAGCCTTGCGTTTGCTTAAAAGCCTCTGAAACAGACACTGTGCTGGACAGGGGAGCCGCCAAGGTGTTCCAAGGAATCAAGGAGTTTGTGACAAAAACTGCAGCATTAGGAATTCCTGAGCAAGCCATTCTTCAGATCCTCTTCAGATCCGTTTCAGCGTACATGACCGGGACCTTACCAGGTGCTGTTGAGCACAACCACCTCCATGAAATTAGCATTAAACTTCTACCTCTTAAGTCTCCACAGGTGAATGTGAATGACATGACTGACTGTTCCTAGAAGCCAACCAGAAGCCTTAAGTACTGCAAAGCAAAAGGGATAAGGAAAACTTTTGCCTTTGTCTCCTTAAGGCAAACATGCTGTCCCTGCCTTTCTTAGTTATCTCTGGGGACTGTTATTGACAATAAAGCTACCTAATGCTTTACTCTATTGTAATTCTCTATACTCAAGCGAGATGGGTTTATAATCTACATAAGGATAGCCTATCACTACCCACTATCTGGGAATCTGTAAGCTATGTTGTTTTCATCTAAAGGGGCACCCACCTACAATTGGTTTTGCTTATACTAATTAACAACTTATGTTTCAGAACTCGACTCCTGGGAGTAACTGACCATGCAGGGGACACAGACCTTGGCAATGACTGAGACTGCTCCAGTTCACAAAGCAAATTTGTTAGATAGGATAGACAGAGACTTCCAGACCCTGGATAGGCCAGGGCCTGCGCTATGCCCCTCAATAAGCAGGAAGCAGTTACAGAAGAGATGATTCAAAGTCATCCACTCCCCTTAGGATTAAAGGGATGGAGTCCCTGAGGGGCGAATGAAGTAGGCAGGCATATAGGTTAAAATCCATTAGGTCTGTGAGCTGGAAGACCACGCCTTTGCCACGCCCCTGTGTGACCCCATGTCCTACCTGACACCTTCACCAAGCCCCTGTGTGACCTCATGCCCCTACCTGGCCACACCTGGGTGCCCACCAGCCAATCAGGTTAATTAACCACTCCCCTTTGGAAGTGGGTTAAAAGCCTGGGACACGGTGTGTCCAGGCCCCTTCTCTTCTTCCCTGGCCTCTTCCGAGGACGGGGCTTGCTGTAGCCCTGAGCCTCAAGGCTTCCTGGGCTAGATGCTCCTCCACGTGGCTGGTTCCTTGTGCGCGGTATGAACCCAGATTTCTCTCTCTTAAAAAAAGCTCTTATGCACCTTTCACACTATATGAAAGCAAAAACAAAACAAAACAAAACAAAAACAAAAACAACAAACAAAAAACAAACAAACAAAAAAACGCCTCTCGCGGGAGAACGGCTACAGCCACATTATTTCATTGGTGGAAGCGCCTGCTGCGGGGTCCTTGCGAGGCAGCAGTTCACCGTTGGGGGTATTTCCTGTCCAGTTGTGACAAAGAGCTCCGGGTTTGTGCACGGTGAGGTTTACTCCTCTTCGGATCGCTTCGGGCCAGGGACTTCCCTCCGCGCCAGTGGCTGCAGGAGTCCAAGCCAAGCGACACCGGTCCCTTCGCTAGCTGCGGGCTGGAAGGCGTCGCGGTGTCCAGAGCTCGAATTGCAGACCTCCAGGCTGGAGAAGCTTGCTGGCAACCATTGTGCCGCCTATCATTTTGCGACTTCATAAATAAAGCGAAATACTCTCTTCGCTGCCTCCTTCTTGGACCTGTAGAGATCCTTGAGCGTTTCTCTCCCATGCGCGTCTCCGCTTCTTCCTCCCGCTTTTTCCACACAGTCACGATTCCCATCCCTGGGATCGGGCCGGTGCTTCCCCACAGGCCTCCTGGGAGGTCTCCTTGTCACAGCGACGCCTCTGCTTTCTTTGGCTCCTTTTCCAGCGTCTGCTTTTGGCGCGGTCACTCACCCGCACCAGTCGCACCGACCTCACGGACTCCGCCGAGCGCAGCCGGGCGGAGCGCGGAGCGGGAAGCGCCGGCACGGAGCCCACGGGCGCGCTCGGACCCCGTGGGCCCCAGCACGGCTCCCGCGGACTCGGTGGCGGACTCGGGCGTCCCTGGCGCGCTGTTTCCGAAGCAGGCGAGGGGTAAGGCGGGGCCAAGGCCACTTGGCAGCCCTTCTGGTGTCAGGGTTTCTAACGGGACAGACGCGACAGGGTCCCAAACACTCCCGAAGCTTGGAGTTGGCAGTTATCTTGCAGCGAGGAGGCAAAACCTAGGCTTTCAGTGAATGCCTAGTGTATTCTGAAACCGGAAACATGATACTTCCCGTGTCTCTGTGGCGCAATCGGTTAGCGTGTTCGCCTGTTAAGGCGTCAAAGAAGGTTGGTGCTTCGAGCCCACCCAGGGACTAGTCAAGCTTTACTTGTAAAAGGAGGGTTAGTGCGTTTGTGGTCATTGTTACAAATATGTTACTGAAAAGAAGACAACAACCTCCTAACCTGGGTGTCTTGTCCACCAGATAGTACAATCTTAGCGCAATCTTTGTCAACTTGCCATTCAGAAACATCTCTCTAAGCATGCTCCACATAAAGACCATGGCCCCTTTTCACTTGTGCCTAACATAAGAAAACTATCACGATCCACAAACCAAGAGGCTATTCTTCCCATTAGCATCCTGTAACTTCAATGCTATTGTTAAGTTGATACATCTTATGTGGTAGGAGTAAGGAGATGAGCAAGAGAGACTAAGAGGGAGAGAGAGGAAGTGAGAGAGAGAGAGAGAGAGAGAGAGAGGAAGAAATACTTGTAACTATTACATGCTTGTTTCTGCAACTGGTCTCATACAAGTCTGGTATTTGTAACTGCCTTCTTTCACTCAGTTCCATGTTCCTTTGCTCTCTGCAAGCACCTCAGCTGGTCTTTGTTATTCACCTGGTGTGTGTTGGGTGGGGGCAGGGGGGGTACATGAACCTTCATTCCTAAAGTATCTGGATCATTAACAATCCTGTATGAATTGAGCTGGTTTGGTTTTCCACTGACTTATCTCAGGGCTCTAAGAGATGTCTAAGAGATGTCCAAGGGATCTCCTGTGCTTAGACATAACTCTTCCTTGCCTGCCTCCATGGATGGAGAAGCAGTTCAACTTGCCCTTGGCAATCTGGGTCCACCACCCTAGCCAGCACGGTAGCTTCCTTTTTTGCTTGTGGATTCAGAGGCATGAGACGAGGCCAAAGAGGCTGAGTGGCAGTCTTAATGTTCGATAGAACCATTGTCTGTTGATGGGTACATTCCTCCCTTCTGAACTAAGACTTCCAGACCAGAAGAACGTGAAGGCAAAGGTAGAGAAAGCCAAATTTTGCTAATGTATTACTAGCAGTAATAATGAGTGGTGCCACTTCCATTTCCACTCCTTGGTCCCTGGACCTGTGAATCCTGGCTATGGGAGAAACAGCACCGCCTGGTGAACGGTTGCCTGGAGAACCTTGTCCCACATAGCTGGCATGGTAACTGAGGCCTCAAGAGGTCATTCCGCTGTTCTAATCAGACCAGAGGCTTCAGGATGTGAGAGAATGTGGTGAAATCAATGAATTCCATGAGCCTAGGCCCACGGCTGCAACTCATTTGCTACAGAGTGAGTTCCTTGACCAGAAGCCACGCCATCGTCACCACACTGTAAGGCATTCTGAAAGTCCATCCATCCAATGTTACGACTCCTTCACTATAATCCTATACCCTTAATATCAATTTCCACATATATCTCATGTGTTTCTGTCTTTGTAAATGGGAAGAGTCACGTAGCTCTTTTGGAATATACTGCACCTCCTCAGGGGTTTAGAAGACAAGTGTGGGTGAGTCCATGAGGACTCCATATTCTGTTCTGAGGCCATTGCCTCAGAGCAGAGCACTGAAGGCTCCCCAGGCAGAGTTGAGTGAATCTCCTCCAATGCGTGTTGAAAGGCTCCTTTACTGGCAAGGAGAACACAGCAAAATTTAGAGCTTTGATGCCTGCGTCTTCATCTGGCTTTTCTCACATGTGCCGCTTTCACTTCCCATGATTCCAGCCCTTCTCTATCGACTCCCTCACTTAACAGTGGACACCGTGCAAGTTGGGTGCCAGAGTCCAGCTCCAGCCGGTCCAGCATTTCCTGAAGGTGTGAGAGGCGTTGGCACAGGAAGAAATGAGAGACACACTCACAGCAAGGCTGAAGGCATGGCTCTAGCTTTCAGGTACCAGACTTATCTTCATAGCATAAATCACATATGATTCTTTCTTCTTACAATAGCAAGTCTGTTGTCCATTTCCTTAGAACCATTGACCTTGTATTTTATGGTGCCTCTAGATTCTATGTCTACATCTAGTTACAGTTTCTTTGATTTTCAGGGGGCATATTTAGAGCATGGGTTACAATCACAGACAGGTGCGAGACAATGGGCTGCCCACACAAGCCAAGGCCGGAGTGCTGTGGAGCTATGCAGAAATTGGCTACACAAGCTAGAATAGTACCTGCCTAATCTAATCTTTACCAGAAGCCCCAAGTTCAAAGTAGGCCCTTTTTAAAATGTATCCCCTCTTTTGTAGTTCTCTCTGTTACTCTTTATTTTCTTTATTGCACTTAAAATTAGAAATGCAGCAATCCTTAGCAGAACCACCAGGAAGCTCTGGCTTTCTTATGCAGAGTGTAGTTCCCATCAAATCTAAAACCACCAAGAGGACCACAGCTGTCATTCTCACGCCTTGCTGAGACACCTTCTGCTGTGACCTTGTCAGCCAGCCTAAGTTGCCTTGGCCTCACCAGTTGGGAATTCAGTTTGCTTTGTTACTCAGCCCCTCTTCTCAGGATGTGTGGTTTCCCCCAGTCTCAGCTCTCAGGCTACAGGGGATAGAGGTTCTTTCAGGGAAGAGAAAGGAAATTTTAGGTCGCTTATCTTCGGTCAGGAGGTCTACATGTTCTTCCTCAACATTTGACTGTTGTTTAAAGATAAACACTTTGTTTTCTTTTATTAAAGATGTAATTTTCAGGCCAACACCTGTTGACGCACACACTGCGGGGGACGCGGACCCATTCTCTGAACAGCATTGAACTTACGGAGGCAGAGATGGCGGCCCAGGCCAAGAAATCTGGTTCACGGTGTCTGTGCCCCAGGCCCCCGGGTGCTCCCGCCAGCTCCGCGGCTCCTCTCCTTCCACAGAAAGGCGGCTCAGCGCTCAGCCCAAGGTCCACTTCGTGATCGAGGACCTGGGTGTTCTTGAAGTTTTCAGGGACTGTCCAGGAGCTTAGGTGGTAGTGGCAGTGGCTCCAAGAACCAACATTCCAAACTGCAAAAACTCTCCTAAGCTCTTATTGAGCATAGTAACTTTGAGATCCCACTAAGATTGTGTTGCTGCTTCATGGGCTCTTGTCCTCAGTTCAGGATCGCCTAGACAAGGGTCCTAGCACCAGCCTATGCAGTGCAATTTCGCAGAGAAGTGTAAAGATTCCAAAAATGTAAAGACATACCTGCATTGGCCGGGAATCGAACCCGGGTCTCCCGCGTGGGAGGCGAGAATTCTACCACTGAACCACCAATGCACCTGCCACTACTACATTCAAAGTGGTCACTACTGAGAGTATCCCCAAAAACAGCCATTGTTGCAAAAGAGGTTTATTGTAGTGTTGAGTCAAAGCTAACAAACGCACCCATACAGAAGTATTTTAATAGAAGACTTTCACAAAACTATCAATATCAAAATGTCTAACTTTACCTGAAGCAACTCAAAAAAGGTTCTTTCCAACTCTATGACAGCTCTCCATAGTGAAACATCAGAAATTCATTCAGGTTGCTTGTTTCTACTGCTGTCTTCAACGGCCAACCTCAAAGTGTTGCCTTAGTGGTTCTTAGAAGGTGACCTAACTTGTAGGGGTAGGTAAGTAAAGTTCTGATCAGAGGAGAAAGTAGCAGCAGCAGACGCAAAAGAAAGGAAACCAAAGGACAGAATCAACATAGAGAAATGAAGAAGTCAATTTTGGTTCATGGAATTGTACTCTGTAGCATGTATGGTTTTTTTTTTGTAAAAGTAATAACCAATCTTATGATAAAAACATGGTGTCTATTTTATATGATGTTTAAAGCATGTACAGGGATGTGTGATATAAAAAGATCAACAACTCTTGAGGTCAATGTTGATTTCTTTGGGAATATCCAATTTCCTCAATTAGTATGCTTTAATTTATCAGCTATGTAAGGACGTGGCTATTTTTTTAAACTTTTATTTAGTAAATATAAATTTCCAAAGTACAGTTTATGGATTACAAGGCTTTTCCCCCCATAACTTCCCTCCTGCCCGCACCCCTCCCATCTCCCGCTCCCTCTCCCATTCCATTCACATCAAGATTCATTTTTAATTATCTTTATATACAGATGATTGATTTAGTATATATTAAGTAGAGATTTCTTTCTTTCTTTTATTTAGTAAATATAATTTTCCACAGTACAGTTTATGGATTACAATGGCTTTTCCCCCCATAACTTCCCTCCCGCCCGCACCCTTCCCATCTCCCACTCCCTCTCCCATTCCATTCACATCAAGATTCATTTTTAATTATCTTTATATACAGAAGATCGATTTAGTATATATTAAGTAGAGATTTCTTTCTTTCTTTCTTTCTTTCTTTCTTTCTTTCTTTCTTTCTTTCTTTCTTTCTTTCTTTCTTTCTTTCTTTTTTTTCCACAGGCAGAGTGGACAGTGAGAGAGAGAGACAGAGAGAAAGGTCTTCCTTTTCCATTTGTTCACCCTCCAATGGCCGCCGCGGCTGGCGCGCAGGGGCCGGCGCACCTTGCTGATCTGATGGCAGGAGCCAGGTGCTTCTCCTGGTCTCCCATGGGGTGCAGGGCCCAAGGACTTGGGCCATCCTCCACTGCACTCCCGGGCCACAGCAGAGAGCTGGCCTGGAAGAGGAGCAACTGGCACAGAATCCCGCGCCCCGACCAGAACTAGAACCCTGTGTGCCAAGGTGGAGGATTAGCCTATTGAGCCATGGCGCCGGCTATTAAGTAGAGATTTCATCAGTTTGCACCCACACAGAACATAAAGTGTAAAATACTGTTTGAGTACTAGTTATAGCATCAATTCACATTGGATAACACATTAAGGACAGAGATCCCACATGAGGAGTAAGTACACAGTGACTCCTGTTGTTGACTTAACAACTTGACACTCTTGCTTATGGCATCAGAAATCTCCCTAGGCTCTAGTCATGAGTTTCCAAGGCTATGGAAGCCTCTTGAGGTTGCTGACTTTGATCTTATTTAGACAAGGTCATAGTCAAAGTGGAAGTTCTCTCCTCCCTTCAGAGAAAGATACCTCCTTCTTTGATGGCCCATTCCTTCTACTGGGATCTCAGTCGCAGAGATCTTTTATTTTAAAGAAATGTTGATGGTTGAAATGTTAACATATTGGTCTTTTGATGAAGTTCAAATAGTTGAGAGTTCTGTACCCAGTTCTCCCTGGGGAAAGGAAGATGAGGAGAAGAACCTGGAGAGTTGTTGTTCCCCAAGTCAGGTCTGGGAGTCCTGACGGCTTTGGAGGACAGGAGCCGTGACAGGGGATCGTGCTTCTCTCACTGAGAGGCCATGCAAGGTCCACGCTGGGTCAGAACTTAGGGCTCAGCAAGGGAATCAACCTTCACTTTGAGCTTGCATAGCCTTGGTTTTATTTGTCCTCTGTCCATCACCCAAGACACATACCAGGTCTGGCCAATACACCTTCAAATACCACCTCTATATGCCAACAACATCTATATTTATTCTCACAAACCTGTACTTCCTACTCTCAACTTCCAATTCTCAGGTCAATGTTGCATGCATCTTAGAGTCTCTGCTAAATCTCTGCATCAGGTCAAATGCTAATGCTCAGCACAGCAGACAGTTCCCTGTCAGCGTCACGACATCACTCTGCACGGCAATACTCTATGATCAGACCCAAGAACAGCACCTCCTGAAGAGCAGGGTATCACCTGAGAGCTTGAATTGGTCACTACAATCTATGTGTACCCCTGCTGAGTACTTTTACTTACTCCCAAGCCAAATCTTGCTGTACTCTTTGGATGCACTTTCTCATTCTCACAACGTAAATTGCTTCCAGTTTAATGTAAAAAGGGCATAAGTTTATTGAATACAAGCTTACTGCCATTTTTGCAACTACTTTCCACCTATCATCTCTTACTTCCACTAATAAAAGCAGATGAAAAATTGGCTTCCCTTCAGCCAGGCTCTTGACCTCGCTCAGGGAACCGGTCCTTCCTGGCCGCAGAGAGCAGACCCAGAAGAGGGACAGATTCAGAGAAAATCCTGGCCGGCGGCCCAGCCCCACGACCCTAAGAGGAAGTGTCCCAGCCAGCCGAGGGTCTCGCGGTGAATTGTTCTCCCCCGCCTCCATCAGAGCCCTTGGCTGGAATTCCGAGATGGCGACAAGGAGGGAATTGTGTAGTCAGAGGTCCACCCTCGACGGAGAGGAAAGCATGAATGCCTGACAGGCTGGACTTAGGAAACACCAGCGTCAGGGAGGGGTTCGGCCCGAGGATATGCGAGAACGGAGCGTCCAAGGCCGGAAGACCGCAGGGGCAGAGGGTGCAGGGAAAAGATCGGAGGACAAAAACTCCTAGGGGTTTTCCGTCCATCGCGTCCAGGTCCCTGCAACTCGGGGACCCTGACGAGGTCGGAACGTGGAGGTGCCGGCGCCCAGCTTCTGCAGCTGGGCGCCTCTCCCCTGGCGCCCCCTCCCGGCAGCCTCGTCCACTGTCGGGCTCCGGCTCCGAGCGCCGCCGCCTCGCGGTCGCACCGCTCCAGGTGAGTGGTGAGGCCGCCTCGGGCGAGGCCGGGGCTCCGCCGCCGCCACGAGCGCCACTGGCAGGACTCTGCGGGTGGCGTGGGTGCTCGCTCCAATTTGGAGAAAACGGGGAGGCGTCGGCCTTCTGAGCATTTCCTTGTAGGCAAGGGCAACATCGGCCAGAGTGGCTGCGACATTTTGGGGTTTTGATAGTTGATCATTTTTTCTACATTTTTGCCTTACAAACATGTACGTGCGGGGAGGCAGGCTTAAGTTAATCACCGTTTTGATGGAAGGTGGTTTCCTTCCTAACTGTATTTTACTTTCAGATTATTCATAAACAAAAACGTTTGCCATCTCAACTGAGTGAAACAAAATATTAGATTGTTTCCGTTTTGTTCTTCACTCAACATATCCTCGTATTCTTTTCTCCTATATCCCAAGGACAAAGAATTATATACATTTTAGGTAGGTTGCAAGGAAACATTGACTGGTGTGACTGGAAATGCTTGCCTTTTCAGTGAAAAGCTTTCACCGAATCACCTGGACAGTTAGTAATGCAGCTTATATAGAAAGTAAGCTGGAATAAGGCTTGAAGTCATTAAATAGAAAGAAAAGGGGCAACCTCTACTGAGGAAGGGGAGCAGTGAAATGTTGGTTTCAATGCAACACACACTGGAAGCGTCTACATCCCTGAGAAGGGAGGTAGCCAGAAGTCCGCTTGTTGTACCTGAGCGAGTGCAAAGGACCTCCGCACATTGATAAAATGTGATGGTCCTTTATTGTCGCAGTGGAGATTGGGCTCATGCCCTAAAGAACTCTCAACCCTGAAGCCCAAAGCAACAGGGTTTATAAAGCAAAAACCACAAACTGGGAGGGGAATTCATGGTTGCTAGGAATAGGGGGGAATAGATGGTTACCAGGGTCAAGCTGACCTAAAACCTATGCGAAGCTAGTTTCAATTACAATCTGGACAACACCAGTTACAATCTTAACAATTCCACTCATAATCTTGACATTAATGCAGGTATTGGTTTTAATCATATGTAGGACATAGACAAATTACATTTTTATCATTAACCCAGGTGTAGCCTATCCACTTCCAAGCTTGAGCGATCATGCTAGGGGGTTTCTGTGCTCTGCCAAGTATGACGTAGGGACTGCTGTTGTTCAACTGTTTTAGATCATAGTTTCAGACCAGAGTCTCATGGTGTGTGTGAGGGGGCACCTTCCCAGAATGGAGTCTCAAGTGCTCCCAAATGGAGTCCCTACTGTCAAGGTGTTACTTCACCCTCACGAGAAGCAGTCAGAAGGCCTTCATGAGGTCCCCTTGGTGACATTCTCACAGCTCCTCGGCAGCTGGGCCTCGATACGAGGGCATCAAGGATATTCCTAAGCACCTCTGGATCACCTAAGCAGAAACTGCAGCCATCCAAGCAGTCTGTCCCCATGTGTCAATGAAGACTCACTTGCCTAAAATTAAACTGCACATTTCGTCCCACATGCCTGAGGGTCATCCACTGTGCAGGAGCAGAAGTGTTTTCTTGCAAGAGAAGCCAATACTGGCAGCGTGTCCAGTAGGAAGTGTGGTCTCCCATGCACAGCACGTCCCTAGGGCCCTCCAGATGGACTCCAGAACCCAGCTGCTGCTGGACAGGGGAGAGATGG